GTGAGTACCGGATGTGCCCCTTAGACATGAATTCATTTATCCAAATACTTTTGCTGACATCTAGTTACATTGATAACAAAACACTTTAGACTACCTTGAAGAATGGTATGCTCTAAGGACTTCCCCCGTATTCGCTCGGAAAACGATGCTTTTTCTGACGTCAAAACTGCGCCTCCATTTCTATTGATCTGCGCTATAAACGTTGTGGCAGATTATGTTGCAGTAGACATACGTCAGTGTTAAATCTGAGCGGCCAGTTTCGCTTGTTTGCAATAGGACAAATCTATCTCAACCGAGTACTGCGGCAGGACAAAACACAAATGTAAAAGTTTAACTAACGTTGCCGCACGGAACCAACAATACGATAAAATATTATAATTCAGGGAATCATCCCAAGCTCTAAGGCAGAAAATCAGCAACAGGTGACACATCCGTCGATTATCTTGCGACAGACGATAGAAGTGAAGATTTTCTAGGGATTCGATGAATACGCCTAATCGATATCTTAGATGAGAAGGAAAAACCGTAGAGATGTGCTATATTATCACTAGCCTACCAGTACTATATACGCAAGTTCGACTTTCATGCAACAAACCTAAACATCACGAATAGCAAGTTAGACAGTGTCGATTGACCAGTTTTCAATACCACTTCCGGTTTCAACTACTTTTATTGTTACTGATTCACCACATCACAAATGTTATATATGATTAACCAGTCAAACAAACAAAACCGATCATTGTAGTTTCTATGATCGGATAGGCCACTCTAGGATTTTGGTGGAGAAAACGCCTATTTCCCCTTCTGAACTGACTATTTTCCATTAATCCACTTATTTTCATAAAATTCAATGCACTTAAATCAATATACGGGATATCAGTACTGCAACGAGACCTATGTTCCTACGTTATAAACATGGATCACCCTGACCGTATGAATTTAAGGACATCTGCGTTATTGTACGATTGAGTGCACGAGGTTAACGAGTGACGGAGGTTGTGAAAGGATGAAGTGACAGACAATCTCACGAAGAATCCAAGTTATTTTAAGTAGGTGTATTAAGAATCTTAAGTACATTGGAAGATCCTATTTTAGCCCCTAATAATGAATATTACACCCATAGAAAGATGGCTGCAACTGATGGGGAAATTGAGCTGGCACGAGATAGTACCGTTAGAGGTATGAGTGTAAGATATATCCTTTAGAATTGAAAAAAGCTTTCACCTTATTAGGTTTTGGTAAAGTAAGTTAAAAATGGAGATATGGGTGCATTTTCATTTATTGATCCTATTTTGTATAGATATTTCGCTAAAAGCCATTGGAACGTAAAGCATGCATAAACACATAATAAGTAACTACGGACTGGTAACATCATCACATCTTCAATATATTTCAAGCTCCGATCCAGATTCTTAAAGCACCTAACTAGAAGAGCATGGATACCCCATCAAACTGTCTGTCACTTCACCATTCCAAAATACCCAAACTCGTCACTTCTTTATCACAAAGATGAACAACCCTTCGCAGTGAATAATTAATTATGGGATAGATACCGTACTTACGTCGTAATAACATCCTACGAAGCACCCGGTATAAAGTTGTCACCGTTGGTACGATCGTGGATTGTATAAATGTTATCAGACTGGGAAAACACACGACCACGACGATAAATCGTGCAACGAGGATAAGAACCTATGCGGCAAAGCTCAGTAACAAAGACAGCGGCTGCATGTGTCAGGTTGTTTTGATTGGCGTTCAATATAGAATGCAGAAATCAATCCGGGAAGTACAACGAATAAATCTCATTTCCGGTAGTTAGTGAATGAGTTTGGGTTTAGTCCTGCTATCTAAATGAACTGCTGATAACTCCTTTTCTGTATTATTGTACTACTACTAAGCATCTTGCCAAGTGTGCCTTTCAATGCCAGCATTTGGTACGAAGGTAGCAGTTATTAGAGACGTCTGTCTGAATACGCACGAGGCTAACCAGAGCCTAGACTAAACCCACTTATAGAATGAACCACGCCAACATTGATGCCTGAGCATGGTGACCTTGGCGCTGTTCGCTTCCTGATCCAGTCGATCGAAGTCAATTATCACCACGTTTGTTCTTTCTCCTCTTATGCTGTCTCGTCTCTCGTCTTATGTAGTGAACAGTAGCGGTCGTACATCTTGACAATTTCTCTGCAACATCAATCCACTGATATTCTAAAATTTTTCTTTGATCCCACGTTCAGCCTTTTCTGCCTTTCTCGAAAGGTTCATCCAAATGACAGCAACCAAAACCGGCGCACGACAGTGTATGACTAACGGCTGTACAAACTGAACTGAACGTTTTAGGTAAAATCAACCAATGATCATGGACATAACGTTCCCAGTTGGGGGCGGACGAAAATTCCAACCTCGTTTGGTAGCTCACTCAAAACGTAGTTTTGTGTCGATGGAGAAATCAGTTCATTCCGACTTAACGGGGTTTCGACAGACCCCGTTTACTGGGTGACGTATGACAACCTAAGCATCAACCGCTTAGTGTGGGTTCATAGTAGAATGGGATTGGCTTTATTCAATAAAAGTTAGTGGTTTAACTTCAAGTTTAAAAGATATGAATCCGTATATAGTTTCATAAGCAGAGAAGAAAAATTGACACTTTCTGGCAATAATACATGTTGAATTGATAAACGCTGATGAGCCGACAAAATAGAAAGCGGGCAGCAATCAGAAGGTAAAGCCCGAGTACGTGGACAAGATCAGAGTGATGGCCCACGAAGGGAAGTCTGAGATTAAACGAAACGCATTGAACAGCACATAGCGAAGTGACAGAAGTCCCTTAACAATAGGATCATCTTAGGACACCATTCGAACTGCTTAAACTTTCAATTGAAATTGTACTTCGGTAAACTTCCATGTATTGAGGTTGCACTGTGTCGGCATGCAATCTGGGTTGGGAAACAGATTGTCGTGTGGAAAAAGTTAATCGCATAGAAATGTGCAAGCAACTACGCCTTAATCCCTATTTCCTCGCCGGAGAGAAACTAGCGAATAAAGTGACTTATGATTAGGTTAATCTAAAGAAATAGCATTCGTTGCAACCCAACTTACATGGTAGAGATAGCCACCAAACACACTTCCGAGGATAACCGAACAGTGAGATATTTATTCAACTAAACTGAAATGCTACAAAATACTGCACATGTTATAAATCATGAAATACTCGGTACCGAGACTGGCAAAGGGCTTGATTCTACTACGTTCATATTTTTAACGCTTAAGATGACCGAACACTTCCCACATGTCCCGTTGGTCAAGATCTGTCCGGAAGCAATTACTTATGGAACACATCAGTGTCGTGTCCAGTAATAAAAGAGTAAAGCTGACTAAACAAATTCGACCTTACCAGGTACGGCATTCTGCTTTTCAGTGAAGAGCATCAAAATCCCGATTTTTTGATGTTTCCAGCACTCGACATTAGTCAATGCTACGCACTTAGTCTTTAGGCAGCATGGTTTTTTATTACAATGGGGGACTTACTGCTTGACCAAAACTGAAAACGTAAGCTTCAGGATCCGGAGTAGCGAATCGGATAGGGACCAAACAGAATATCAGTAAAACAGCAGTGCAAGCTTTATCAACACAACATACCGCTAGTCAGTATACGCACCGAACCAGAATTTTTCAACTAAGGTGCACAAAAATGATCGATAGTTCATAATACAACTTGTGGCACCAATCGGAGTTAGGAAATTTTATCCTATTATGTGCCCCCAGGACACCCTAAGCAGCGATTGGTAAGGGGCACGAAGTAGAAACCCGAAAGTGAAACGCGATCATTGCGCCAATAACCAACAAGGCAACATTGAAAATTGAATAAAACAGGTGATGTGGTGAGTTTGCAAAGCTGGAATCGCAACAGAATCAATGAAAAACACGATATTGTACAAGAGAGGAGAGGGAGATCACTGACAATGATGAAGCGAGAAGTGAAATCAATGCAGGATATCAGGTCAATGGTGCGCAGATAGAAGGATGCAAATTTGTCGACGTGTGTGCTGGAGCACCAAGCCTTTGAGGAGGTGGGAGTGGGAACATAGAACCTTTGCGAGCGACTTGTACAGAAAAGGAACAAAGAAACCAAAGACAACGGTGTGAAACAAATTTCGGTCACGAACATGTTTCTCGGGTGAGCTACAATGCGCACCAAAACACAGGAGAATACAGTGAGATTACCGAGCAGCCCTTGCAGTGATGTCAGGAAGATGAGAAGTAATAAGTGACGAGCATGCTGCTTGATAGATCAAGGAAGTTGGAGAGACATTTTGTGAATGTCAAAAACAAAGAAATGCCAGTAGTTGACGTCAACATGATGTGCAGATCATGCCAGTAGGTATGCAGCGAGGAAACGCAGCCAGATGATTAACCCCTTAATGGAATGGTGACTAAAGGGCCTATGGAGGACTGGCGGGTATATGGCAATCAACAATCGCAATTACCAGTGAAAGCCAAAATTCAAACCATATTTTGAAGTCGACACTTACAGTTCAAGTGACCAGGAACAAAGCAGTACGAGACGACTTTTCAAGTCGGCAACTCAGATAACCCGGGTGATGAAGAGCTGCAACTGAAAATGCAGCCCTGGGTATAAACCAGAATAGTCAGGGGGAATCAACTGGACTTCTGGATACTGAAACCTGTTTTTAAACCCAAGAATTCCATCAAAAACAAATCTCCATGGTCCGTGAAACAGTGAGTCAACGAAACACGCAGCACGGTCTGGTAGCGGCAAAACCGGGGATCAGCATTCATAAATCAAATGAGTTGGGCAGAGGTTATGTAGAATGAGGGAAGAACGTGCCATTTAAAGCGAACGGGCGGACAGGTACTCGATCACTTGTTCGTCAGTCGGTCAAGCAGCTGGGCAATCGCTTGTTAGACCGACCGATCTGTCTGTCTATCTATTGTAGCAGTGAATCCAAGGATGTCGGTGGGTCAATGGGTTAGAATTTCTATCGACAACATTGACGAGACGGTGCGGATGCTTCTGTCGAGAGCAACTGCGTTCCTCCGCTCGAATTAGCTGGTGTGTCACGTGGCAGACGTAAAGCTGTGGAAAGTTACAAAACAGATTATCCGACAATATAAAAAACAAAACAAAAATAACCAAGCTGCTTTATTCACAGATTGATACATGAGTGTTCGTAACAAAAGGCTTCTAGAAACAGGTTTCAACACACAACTTTCATAGATAAAAGGGACAAACTGCTTTTATTGTCAATTGAGCATGTGTTCATAAACTCCACAAATGACCCTTGTTGAAATTCTAGATTGTATGGAAGCATGCTACGTCGACATTGCTTTAAAACAACAAGATACTAGTTCCAAACAATAGATGGGAAATTTTCACTTGGATTCTAGTGCAGACCTGTATATTTGAACATTCAAATTATAAGATTCATCTCATCTGTGGGTATAAGGGCCGCAAACAAAACAATGGCCTGGCACACAACATTTGAANATACCGGACATGTAGCAAACTAGTGGGTTCTTAGGACCCTTTTATGAAAGAAATCGAAGCACATTCTACCTCCAGGTCAAGTTCGGAAAACAGGTAAGCAACAATATTACACGTGTACTCGGCAAACAGGGCTTTATGTAAATGAGAACTCACCAACTGCCGTAAATAGCTCTGTGATATTTGTGGCATTCTTCGCCGAGGTCTCCATGTAAATTAGACCGTATTCCGAGGCGTACACTTGAGCTTCCTACAAACAGGACAGATGTCATTTAAATACGGGCTGAACGAATGAAAACGAGTCATTATGCAGATGATAATCAAGTTGGTGAACACTCTAACCGCGATAATGGGATAATCTTAAACCAGAATCTACTCTTCGATTCGATGGAACAATCACCTTGCACTTCCGTGAATCACTTTTAGTTGCTATTTCCAACTACTCATCCCGTCGTTCATATAGTGTGATCTGAAAAGCTGAGATTATAACGAATATGAAGACACTCAGTCTTGTTTTACTGAACACAACCATCAACCATACACTTTTGTGCAGCGGTCTTCTTGGCTATCATTCGGTTACTCATTTGGACGAAGGATTAGAGGCAAAGTTAAAATGCTGGAGGTAGTAGAAAAGTAAAGACAGAGAAATAAGGTAGTCAGGATATTGAGTAGACGCAGAACAACACTGTTTATGACACCCGACCACAACCTATCGTCTCTAACCATTGATTGTACGAATCACCGTCGAGGAAACCTAACACGACATAGTTGAGGTTTTCATTAGCTCGTATGCTACCAAGCGCATCCCAAGGTCGCGGATAGGGGAACGGCCATCAATTCGCAACTAACCGTAAAGTGGGTTCAGACCTCCCGAATAAACAATCGCGGGTGATCAGTTGCAGCACCCGAGGATGTGGTGGGTATACCTCCCGGCAACGGTTCACCGCACAAAACACCACACATCTGAGGATAGTGCTGTGACGTGGCGAGTGCGGCCCGTCACGAAATATGGGCGTTGCACCTTGTCAAAATCAACTGCTCGACTAGGGTCACCAGAGTAGGCGAATAAACGAAAAACTGACCATCGGCACACCCGAAACATCCGTGCTACCTCGCAGTCCGCGCTCGGTTGCGCAAAGGCTAAATCTCCCCCTGAACAAGGCCTAATATGGATCGGGGGACCGAGTAGTACAATAACCCACAACGCACACAACCACGAACGTGCTTTACTTTTACTTTTGAGCGACTAACTCCTGTGGGCGAATAAATTGGCCTCGTGGCTGTCTGTAATGATGGCAGTCCTTGCATGACGATCGACAGCAAGGTTGATGAAGTGTGAAACCCAGTTCTGGTTCCAGTTACGAATTCCATATACGAATTGGAAGCCCAGTAGTTCCGAGTTTGCCTCGATCGTTGACCACCGAGTTGGTAATGCCATCCAAGGAACGGTGCGGGAGCAACAGTTTGAGTTGAGTGTCGGGCCTTCGAAGCACATAACTAAACCACTAAAGGCGCCGGCGTTGTATCATTTTCGAAAGCTTGTCGATGTTCGAGCAGCACTGTCAAATCCCATCATTGGAAATCCAATCTCCAATTTACTTTTGAGATGCGGCGTAAGCACCAATGATCAAAGACTTCGAGCTTCCTTATATCTTGTACTCAAAAGTAGCGCGGAAGTCGATGAAACATGCTGTGGTAGACTGCTGGAACTTGTAGTGGTGTTCCAGAATCCTACGGAGAGTAAAGTTTTGTTCAGCACAGCTTCTTCCGCGGCGAAACCCTCTTTGTTCGGGTGGACGTGTATCTCTGACGACTGCGAAGCGATTAAGCAGCATCATTGTAAACAATTTGGCCGCAATATCGACGAGGCTAATAGCCCGTAATTTTCACACCTAGATCCGTCACCCTCTTCTGGAGCTAGGACTAGAATTGAAAGTGCCCAATCTTTTCGAAAACCTTCTGTTTCCCAAATGATGTGGAAAAGAAAGTGCAGATGATCGATCAGAGTCGGTAAGCAAGCTTTTAAAAGCTCTGGTGGTATCCCATCTTCTCCAGGGACCTCCCTGCTTTAAGAGAAGTGACTGCATTGATTATTTCTATCGTACTAGGCGGGTCACAATTGATGTCGTAGATCTCCGAGCTGCTTGACACCTGTGCAGAGCCAGGTTGGTTTGATAAGCGGTTGAGCAACCTGTCAAAGTGTTCGACCCATCTTTGCACTTTCTGTTCAGTTCCCTGAATAAGTTGCTCTACTGTCATGGCTCCGAAAGCCGTATCCGGCAAAGCTGCGAAGAAGGCTTTTAAAGTGAGGACCACTGAGGTGAACAAGACCAAGAGGAGGAAGGAGAGTTACGCGATCTATATCTACAAGGTGTTGCACCAAGTGCATCCTGACACTGGTCTCTCCTCGAAAGCAATGTCAATCATGAAGTTGTTTGTGAACGATTTTTTCGAGCAAACTGTCGCAGAGTCCATTCGTCTTGCCCACTACAACAAGCAGAGAAATTTTGAAATTTCCTGTTCTCATGATTCTGAACTCCTAAGCTTCTTCATCCATTCTACATCGCACAAACCCTCGTTTCCCCAGGCTCCCCAATTTCACCTTCCCCGCCACATACATACATCACTCTCGGGTTCTTCAGACGATCGTACTAACAGTAGTGCCTCGAATGGAAATTCTGCCGTTTTCTCGTGTGTACCTCGTACGCACGAGAACCTAATCATCAACACGTGTTGTGTCCAAGGAACTCCCATTCAAAACTCCATCTCCGTTATCCGATTGGTGTTACCAACAAACCAATCTGCAAAGCTTCATCTACGCCTCTCTGGCGACCCTGAGGCTGCGGCTTGCGGTCTTGCTGGCATTCGTGTGGCTCTCAGAGGCAGAGCTAAAGCCGCGCTCCTGGGTTGGATCCCAGTCGACAGATTATACGCAGTGAGATTCAGATGTTCGTGCAAAGTAGGCAGCCGTCGCTACGATTGTTTGTCGTGTGGGCGTACATCCCAGCGAACAGCGGCCCAGATGCAATCCGAAATGAATTCTACTTAAAACTACAAGACCTCTTGTGTAAAGCAACTCGGGCAAATATCGTAATTTTAGCACGAGATATGAATGCCAGAATAGGCCGGTTGATCTCAAGTGAGGCGCATTTGGGAAGTCCTCTCGGACTAGATTCCTGTTGCTCGGAAAAAGGGGAACAGTTGTTGGCCCTATGTTCCGACCACCGCTTATTCCTTAAGGGTACGAAATTCAGACGATCCAACTGCCGGTACGCTACTTGGAGTCCGCCTTTCTCGAGCCAGCAACGGACGCAGATGGACCAAATCGCTACAAGCCACAAATAGCGGGGCTGCAAATAAGACTGCCGATCAAACTGGAGCACTTAACTTGAATCCGACGGTACATTAGTAAGCGCCAAGCTGGTTGGTGCTTTAGTGAGCGTTCTAAATGCACGACACAACCACGTTTGAACTGTCATAAGCTGTCCGAAGCAGCTTCTCTGTCTTTCAGAACACCCTAGCTGAAAAGTTAAAACAGACCGGAACCGATATCAGCAGTCTGCGCTCGTTGTTTATCAAGAGTGCTACGCATTCTTCTCTCTTATTTAGTTGTGGTCTAACAGGAAGTGTCGTGACACCCTGGATTTCTGCGGAGTCTTCACACCTTGACGCACAGCGAGTAGTGAAACACGTTACGTAACGAGATGTGAACTTAACGCAGGCCTACGTAGAGACCGCGATATCTGGTGGACTCAGCGCGTGTCGGAGATGGAACGCGGTGCCACCATGGGAAATTCCCGAAAGCTGTTCCATCTTATACGAGCCATCGGTAGTCTACAGTGACACATGGAAATTTGTTGCTATTCCCGTTATCTACTGTACGTGAAGTCCGAAGGATAGTCAATCAAACCAATCAATACTAAGGAAATATAATAAAAGCGAATCTGTAGTGAAGTTTGAACCTAAGTATCCCGAAAGCAGTATGAATCGATCACTGAAAGGTGTTGAGTGCAAAGATGATTTTCTTGGATGAACTACATGATTAGATTATTGGATGATGATATCTCAGAAAAGACGAACTCTTCTGGCATACTTTTGATAACATCAGAATGAGTTCCTTCAGTCTATTGAATATAATCGATCTGTCAGTGGAATGTGTCAAATCACCAAAATATAACTTACTTCAGAAGAAACTGTTCGCTGCTCGGCTAAGTCCAGTTTGTTTCCGGCCAGCGCAATCACCTTGACCGTGTTTGCCCGTTCGTTCAGTTCTTTGACCCATCCTTTTGCTCGCTCGAAAGAACTGGAGTTCGTTATGTCAAAAACAATTATCGCTGCTTGTGCACCTCGGTAGTACATGGGTGCCAAACTGTGGTATCGTTCCTGACCTGACGGGAAGTGTGTAAAGCAGAAACTGGTGAGATGTTTACAAACTTCAACTGACACAATATGGACCGGCAGAGGTTTTAAAAAGAATGGAGAAAAAGCAGTATTCTCAAATGCCATCCATTAGAGGTTTGTCAATATATGGTCGCTTGTTGTGCTACCTGCATAGATGGAACATAACCTCTGTCGAGAAGAACCGAGGAACATAAGACTCAGGAACAAATGCGACGCAAGTTTGGTTATCGCTGGTCTAGTGGAAATGAGACAGCCAATAACAGCCCACTTAACTTTTACAACAGTCGACAGAAATTCTTTTTATATAGTGGATTTCGTCGTGTACTGAACAAATGAGATGAGCGAGATGCGCAACAAGCCGCAGAGACGGGATTGTGCTATATCATGCAAAGGCCAATTGAAAAAGGGCATGATCAGTCGACCGATGGTCAACTTAGTAGTATGCTGCGAGGCCCCAGTTGGGAAGACCCAATTAGGCCGAGAAAGCTGTAGTGCTTCCTAGTTTTACAGTTCACTTTTCACTTGCTCTGTACGCGTCCAAATTCTATTATATAATCGAATCAGATCCTCAGCCACTCTCATATAATTCCTGGTTAATCTGCATCAGCAGTTGCCTGTACTTTCGCGCGCTTGTTTTGATTCATGTCCTTAATTCCTCTCAGACTAATTTGAACCTTATTTAGACCCCAGACATTTACCACAAATAGATCTACTGACTACATCCTTGTGAAACGGGTATTGCCAGAAAATACCGGTTATGTGCTCATTGTTTTTAAAACACCATCAATTAGCGAACATGTTCCAGAGCGCCAGACTTTGGAGAATGCCACCTTTGTCCGACACCCCTGATTATGGGCTACGGTTGGCTTGATTGGCCTTAGTCGTTCCTGAAACTCGTCTGTAGAATTAAATGTTTTATGCAGTTAGAGGAACTCAAAACAATTTGTTATCACTCTTTTCAGGATTCTTGTCATTCTTCTTATTATAAGCA